CTCTGTGTGTGTGTGTGTCTGTCTCTGTGTGTGTGTGTGTCTGTCTCGCTCAGGGAGGGTTGAACCAGCCTGTCTGATATTGGGTTTTGATCCCAGGTGAAACACTGGCTCCTGCAATTGGCCACTGAGCTGGAGGAGAGACTGGACAAAGACAAGGAGCAGGTCAGCTTCCTCTTACATTGAACTTACCCAAAGGAGGGAACAGGGAAATGGGTGGAGCCCTTGTGTAAAGTGAGGGATAACATCAGGCCCCTGAACAGTGGAGAAAGGAGCCGGATCCACATCAGTCCTCAGACTCACTTTCTCAGACTGGCTGTAAACACAGCTATATCCAGCTTGGAGGCTGCGGAAACATCAGTTCATCAACTTGCCCAAAATGCAGCACCTTCAACAGTGCGGCGCCCCCTCAGCCCTGCCCCTCCGACAGTGCGGCGCCCCCTCAGCCCTGCCCCTCCGACAGTGCGGCGCTCCCTCAGCCCTGCCCCTGGAATGATAGCTTGATTATATAAAAAGAAATTGCTGGAGAAACTCAGCAGTTTTGACTGTATCTGTGGAGAGAGAAACAGTTACTGTTATGTCTCCTCAGGAGAGTTCTGAAGACGTGTCACTGAACTTGTGTTTCTCCAGCACTTTCTGTTTGTACGACAGCTATTCAGCATTGACAGTAACTTGATTTTTATTAGAGTGATGGTTTGGGTGTTATTCCCATCTGATATAGACTAGGGCAGGATCCCACTACCTTGTGTCTGAGTGACACCAGAATCAAGGCAGAGTGTGGGGAATCGATCGATCATTGCTCAGGTGATCACTGCAGGATCGAGTGGATTCACACGCTTGTTCTTGCTGCTCCTGTAGAACCAGCGGGTGGGAAGACTGCTGTCTGTGGGAGTTCGACTGGAGGGCAATAACAGAAGCAGCAGTTTGTCACGGTGCTGCGCTCTGCCCCTGTACAAGGCGGACAGGATCACAAAGGATGCTTTCAGCTTAATCCAAGGACTCAACTCAGCAGCAAGGCATCAGGCAGCATGGTGAGGAACGTGGGGGGGATCAGGGAGGGACAGGGCAGTGAGGGACGAGAGGGGGAGGGAGGGAG